TGCAAGCGATGCATGGCGCCTTTCCCAAGGAGATACCATTGTAGCACCCTTTCAAACTACCACATGCCGATACGGCCGCCCACCGCGCCCGCCCGCCCACAAATGTTTGACCGATGCTGATGCTCATTTGCGAAGAACAGTACGAAGCGAAGGGATTGATATGAAGCGGCTGCGGTGCTGCATGGATATATGAGTACATACATGCAGCCGTATCTACCGTAGCGGTTATTGGCACGATGCCAACGGGAAACTCGTCCGAAATTGCTTACTAAAGGTTGTAGAACAAAAGCTTTTTCGCAGGTTTTCGACCGTTTTTCGCTTTCACCATTTCTCCGCTATAACACCCCTCTACCATTCTAGACCAAGTACCAAATTATTGTGTCTCAGGGCTGCAGGGGCAATAATGACACAATGGCTGCGCGAGCAGTCGCGGTCCAGCGTCATTGGTGGAAGGGATGCTAGAGCGCGTTTGGCCACACCCACCCGGCCCTTCCACCAATGGCGACAGCTGTCCGCGCCTAGCGATCGCCACTGCCATTGAGCAGTTATTAGGCCACCTCTTGGCTGGGCGATACATTGCTTTTTCTTCGTTATACATCGTCTGCAATTCATCGTTTACTTTCATAATTGTTTTCTTCAGTGACGGTGAGGCATGGATGCAGTCGAGATGCGAATTTCATCTATCCCATCATGGAGAAAGTAGGATGTTAAAAAAATTGGACTCACCAAGCTCACCGAAAACGTTTTTCTGAATAGAGTTCCGATCCTTTTCTGTGAATTTTATTAGTACTCCTGAAAAGCTGTGAGTATACTAATGATATGATGCTCACGTTGTTAATCTGTATAACCACTTCTAAACATCTGCAGTCTTGCTTTATCTTTAGCAATTGATAGTCCGTCTAGTTTTAATACCACACTAACAATACGTGTAAAATCACTTGGAATTGTTACTCAAAGAGACATTGTTACAGTTGTGATCTACCATGAATGTAATTCGTTTTATGTGCATAGCAGATTTATTTTGGAATATTTGTTTATTATTCGATGAATATTGATCAGATTGCATCTGTATACAAAAAAAAAACTTCTTGTTTTCCCCGTCGTCTATAATCCTTCTCGCATTCAACAGCTCGCATTCAACAGCAGTTCTTCGAAAAAAAAAACTTGTAGGAATTGGTGAAATTCAGGGAGCTGGTGCGTAGAAT